GGGTGCCTGCCCCCCAGCCCCGGCAGGCGAGCCGGCGCCTACGGAGAGATCGCGCGCACCGCTCGCTCTCTATAATTTATAGCGAGGCCGGGCAGTCCAGATGGACAATCCGCCCCTCATGGCGCTGAGATCCGCGCTGTCTCCGCGGGAATGTCGCCAGAGCTAGCCAGCCGCAGGAACTTCCAGGGAGACCTGGGTTATCTCCATGAGAGCCCCGACAGGTAGATCAGAGGATAGCCCGTCCATCCCTCCATCCATCTTGGTTACAACACGGCTATGAACGATCTCCGTCTAAATTATAGACCGAGAGATTCGATGGGATACCCTCCATCTATCTAGACTGTAATATAGAGATCAATGGACTGTCCATAAATTACAGATCTATCGATAGATAGTTAGATTAGCTGTACCATCCCTCTAAAAAGCTCTAATTTATAGAGAGAGATCCTTTATATTTATATTACAGTCTACGATAGATCCGGGTATTTGTCTGTACATATTTAAGCGGAGAGGAAAAAAGTATTATGCCTACACATACATATATATATATATACTTACATACATGCACATGATAGATAGATAGATCTGGATATGTACACATACATTAGTGATAGAGATGTAGCCGTGTTAGTCTGGTGTAGCTGAAACAAAATACAGGACTATGTAGCACTTTAAAGACTAAGATGGTTTATTAGATGATGTGGCCCACTTCGGGTCTGGCCCACGAAAGCTCATCATCTAATAAACCATCTTAGTCTTTAAAGTGCTACATAGTCCTGTACACATACATTGTATTTTATATAGAGAGAGATAGAAAATAATGTATCTGGATATGTACACATACATGTATTTTATTTATATAATGTACGTGTACATTGTATTATATATATGGATATATAAAATCATATATCTGGATATGTACACATTCATTGTGTTATAGATAGATAGATATGGTGTGTGGAGCTAGATAGATAGATCTGGATATGTTCATATACATTGTATGATAGATAGATAGATAGATAGATAGATAGATAGATAGATAGATAGATAGATAGATAGATAGATAGATAGATAGATAGATAGATAGATAGATAGATAGATAGATAGATAGATAGATAGATAGATAGATAGATAGATAGATAGATAGATAGATAGATAGATAGATAGATAGATAGATAGATAGATAGATAGATAGATAGATAGATAGATAGATAGATAGATAGATAGATAGATAGATAGATAGATAGATACGGTGTGTAGGGATAGCTAGCTAGATAGATACGGTGTGTGGAGAGAGATAGATAGATAGATAGATAGATAGATATGGTGTGTGGGGATAGATAGATCGATCTGGATATGTTCACATACATTGTACGTCATAGAGATGTAGACCAGTGCGATGCATGTTTTATAAATGGCAGGGGTGTCGACACACACGCATCAGTTACAGACAGGGAAGTTGGGGTGGACACCTGTTGTGTCCCTACATTGCTTAGCACACAAGCCACACAACAGTAGTGTAGCTTCAGAGGTAGCCGAGTTACTGTGTACAGGAAAAACGTCAAACAGCCACTGACGTTTTTATCTGTTCGGTTACTCGCACTTTACGGAGTAACCGAACAGGGAGCTGGTATCACGAGCTTTCTGGGCACAGCCCGCTTCTTCCGCTGTGTAGACACGCACCTCGCTCCTGGGCCTCATCTTCCCTCTGCATTGTCGGCTTGCCCGGCCCGATCATTGCCCGGCCATTCCAACCCAGCGAGGCCCAGACCTCCCCCGCCCCCCCAGAGGTACCAGCCCGGCCTCCAGGCGCAAGCGAGACCTTGGGCCAAGGGGCCGAGTTCCGTTCTCAGACAGCCCCAGGGCCCCTTGTGGCTACGCACCTCGCTCCTGGGCCTCATCTTCCCTCTGCATTGTCGGCTTGCCCGGCCCGATCATTGCCCGGCCATTCCAACCCAGCGAGGCCCAGACCTCCCCCGCCCCCCCAGAGGTACCAGCCCGGCCTCCAGGCGCAAGCGAGACCTTGGGCCAAGGGGCCGAGTTCCGTTCTCAGACAGCCCCAGGGCCCCTTGTGGCTCCGGATCACCCCCGGATACTCGAGCGGCGTCGCGGCCGTCGTGTCCCGCCCGCGGCCACGGGGCAGCCAAGCTCAGTGAGCCAAGACTGCTGCTAATTCCCCCTCCCCCGCCCCCAGTGCAAAGGGGGATGCGCTAAAGAGAAACACCCGGTACCCGAAAACCCGAGCGAGAAGAGCTCAGAGAAGCGCCCCCCCTCTGCTCTAGCCCGTGCGAAGTGGGTAAGTGCGCGTGCAAAGTGCAAAGTGCGCGTGCAAAGTGCAAAGTGCGCGTGCAAAGTGCACGTGCAAAGTGCCAAGTGCGCGCCCACGTTCCTGGAAAGGCAAGGCGGGCAAAGCCAGGCGGACGCGAGGGAAGGGTCATTTCTCCGTCCCAGCCGCCACACGCCTGGCTGCCGGACAGGCCAAATCGGACTGCGAGGGCACGTACCGATCCCCTCTCCGGCTTCCCTTGGCGGACTGCAGGCGCTCGCGCCTCTCAATGTTGGCGAGGGCGGGGGCTGTAAATAGATTGATCCCTGGGACCATCCGCAGCAGATTGGCCGGTAAAACACCGCACCCGGAAGATCTAGAGAGACCAAATAACTCCCAACAGATTATATACCCGCTCCGAAGAGCCACCTAGGTTCCGCACCCTAGATCCAGATTAACCACACAATGATGTACAGCTATGCGTGCAGCACACACGTTGCTATCTATCGACATACAAATATTGTGTATGCAATCCATATACACAACCACATCGACTACACACATACACACATCTCACATACACACATATATCAATAGGTGCGGACATTTACACATTTGTTCATTCTGTGAGTCTATGATCATCTCATCTAAGGAAGTAGGTTTTGTTCATGAAAGATCTAGATATCTAGCTAGCTAGTCGGTTTTTACAGTACGATTGATTGTAATACACACACACACACACACACACACACGTGCATATATATATACACATCTGTACACATAATACATTGTATTATTATACATACACGAATACACTATATATCTATTTATAATGGGTGTGCATGTAGTATTATAGACGGGTGTGTGTGTGTGTGTGTGTGTGTGTGTATGTGTGTGTGGGTGGGTGTATTTACACATTTGTTCATTCAATCGACTTTTTGATTCCCTCCTTCCCCCCGCTTTGGTCCGCATTTGAGAGAGCATGTCTTCCAAAGAATCCGGTGTCATCGTGGGAGCAGTACATGTAGCGTCTACAACACACATAGGGAGGGGGGATTTCTTCACATCGCCTTTGCGCCTGTTTTTGTTTTGTTTTGTTTCAGCTGATGCAAAAAGAAAAGAAACCACCCAACCAAAAACCAAACCAAAACAAAAAAACGAAATACAAACAAACCAGAACAAAAAAAAATCAAATACAAACAAACCAGAACAAAAAAAATCCCCAAAACCCAAAACCAAAACAAACAAACCCCCCCAAACAAAACCAACCAACAAGCAAACAAACAAAACCGCAGTTTGCGTTTAACGTTGTCACGTGCCCCGAGTTACACTGTGACAGGGGATGGAAAACAAGCAGAAAAAGCTACTGTGCTGCGCGCACTTGATTTTTGCTTGATTTTTCAGAATCGTCCCCTCTTCCTCCAGCGGACCTTGCCCACTGAACAGAGACACGTGTGTCTAAACTCCTAGCGGGGCGGGGGGAATCGAGTTTAATCTCGTCCATGCAACTGGAATGTTGTGTGTGTGTGTGTGTCTGTGTTAGTGTGGGTCTGTTTCTGTGGGTCAGTGTCTGTGTGTCTCTATGTTTGTGTGTCTCTGCGTGTTTGTGTGTGTGTGTCTGTGTATCTGTTTCTGTGGGTCAGTGTCTGTGTCTCTCTATGTTTGTGTGTCTCTCGGGTCTGTTTCTGTGGGTCAGTGTCTGTGTCTCTCTATGTTTGTGTGTCTCTCTGTGTGTCTGTGTGTCTCTGCGTGTTTGTGTGTAGGTATGTGTCTCTGTGTTTGTGTGTGTCCGTGTGTCTGTTTCTGTGGGTCTGTGTCTATGTTTGTGTGTCTCTCTGTGTCTGTGTGTCTGTTTCTGTGGGTCAGTGTCTGTGTCTCTCTATGTTTGTGTGTCTCTCTGTGTGTCTGTGTATCTGTTTCTGTGGGTCAGTGTCTGTGTCTCTCTATGTTTGTGT